AAAAAGCCTTTTTTTTTTTTTTTTTTTTTTGAAGTCTAAAACTTTGAACTGGGAGCAAAACAGAAGCACTGATGAACAGAGCCAAAACAAGCCAATCAGGTTTTGGTTTATATTCTAGCTTTCACCAAGAATATGTAGAATGTGGCCCTTGTAGAGGTCAATACTCTGATTTCTTTGGGTGAACTAACTCAACATAGTAAGTATTTAATTACAAAATTTGTGGTTCCTTGAATTATTGTTAAATTTAGTTAGATTTAACAATAAGAAGAAGAATACAGAAGAAAAGAGAAATTATATGCTGGAATGGGAAGAGAGAGAGTGAATTAGGATTCTTTCCATCATCCTCTTGTTTTAATATTAAATTAGTAACTACAAATACACTTCCAAGTTTACATAACACGTGATACTTATCATGCCCAACTTGCAAATAATGGGGTGAAAATTCTTACTACCAAGCCTTTTAGTGAATATATCTTCTAACTGACATACAAATCAAAACCTTGCTCAACTTTTTCTTAATAAATTGTCTGTCAACTTCAATATTCTTGGTTCTATCATGTTGAACTATATTATGAGCAATGTTGATGGAACCTTATTTTGAAAAACCATAAACAACATTCAAGAAACAAAAGAAACCCATAAAGCTTCATTTAAGCTCCAATTACCTCAGCTGCTGCCTCAACAGGCTCCTCAGCAGGCCTTTCCATTTTCACTCCAACATCCTCCGTAGAGTAGTCACCGTGGACCTCCATCAACTTGCCAAGATCAAACTTGGGAGCTTTCAAGTTCTTGACTTTGCGAATGAAGACATTCTGCAGAGGGTAGATGCTTGAAGTTGTCTTCTCAATCTCCCTATCAATTGATTCAGGAATAAACTTCTGGACCAAATCCTTCAGATCACAAGATTGCGCCTGGTTTACCATGATCAGAATATAGATCTTTCAACTAAACCTAGAGCCACATAAGCTCCCAAATTTCATGAGCCAAGCTGCCACATAAGCTCGCAATATAGATCTTTTAGTTTCTTGAAACTTCTAATTTTTAATGAAAAATTAAGTAATTTTTCTCTTTTCAATGCATCTCAAATTATGAACAACTTTGCTTATGTTATGAAAGTAGAAAGAGAAGAGAAAAGAGAAAGTATATATTGAATTGAATAATGAAATACAAGAAGCATGTATTTATAGGCTAAGAAGAAACGTAGATAAGTATAGAAAAGGAGATAAAGATACATCAGAGATAATTATAGAAAAAGAGATGAGATACATCTATAATACAGATAGATAATTATAAAACAATCATATATATATCTAACAGCTTATCTTCACAAATTTATATTTGTAATTACAGTTCGTCCTGAGAAATTTGCTAAAATAATTCTCTTTTTCTTGCTTGTTGGGTTCATTTAACAGTTTTTTTCTTATTAGTATTTTATTGACAATTTCTTGCAGAACCAATTACTTGCAATGAATTACATACATGAGGGAACAGATGATAACATATGGGTTAAGAACAATTTTAAGTTGAATGATTACTCAATTAATGATATTCGTGTCAATCTTTATCAAGTGAGAATTGGCAACTGAATCATAAAACTGAGGCAGCAGTGGGAGTGTTGGTTGCTGTTTTGTTCTGTTAATGCTGGTGCTATTTTCTTTTTATTGTTTTCTGTTGGTGTCTTGCCAACATTTAGTGTGTCAACCTAGTTGAGATATGTTCCACTAGCAATGATGCAATGTTATCACCAAACTACTGGATTTGAAAACAATTCAAATTTGCAGATGTTATAATAGCGGTTAGTGTTTCGATAATGATACTTCTTCAACTCCGGCAACGTTCACGCATTCCATAGCTATAGCAAACATGCAATTTCCAACACATTCTGTATTGAATAATTGCATACCATAGCAAATAATAAAGCCTTTTGTCTTGAGTACAATTCTATAGCACAATAAATGTGTTCTTTAATACTATCAACTATTCTCTTAGCCCTTCTGTCTCTTTCTATCCATGCAGCTGTAACAGCTTTAATAAAAGACCTTATTCTATACTTTTACAATTGTTTGAGGAGCAAAAACTAACAAAACAGTTACTAAAGCTAGACACAGCTTAGTTGGGCCAATTGTAGAAGACTTGCATAGTGCCTATCCAGGCCTATTCAATTCAGGAATAAAGGCTATTTCTCATGAATGATGCAAGACAACATGCTGC